CGAATTTGATTGGCTGAAATCGATATTGACCGCGGTCTAAATTTTCCCATCTAGACCGGTATCTAGACCGATTTCATTTTGCGTTGAAAAAGTAGCAAACTAAAATACAAAAGTGTCCACCTTTTTCTTTTCTTTTCTGCTCAATCATATATGGAAGTGCCAAAAAGCCTGATGACAAAAACAACAAAAAAAAAGTGTCAGCAAACCAGTTACATTAAAAGAATTAAAGTTTTCTTCTTTGCCATATAATAAACATCTTACTAACCGAGTTAAGTCGGTCTGTATGGGAGAATCTTGACCTCTGTCGTGAGTACAGACCGAACGCAGTGAGGTCTGTACTCACGACAGAGGTCAAGATTCTCCCATCAGACCTCCTGCTCGGTCAATAAGAGCTAATTACTGCTTTCCATTAATCTCGTTCAGTGTTAGCTGTAACAACTGATATACTGGCACATCAAGAAAATGTCCCTGTATAATGATTTGATCCAGTGCTTTATGTCATATATCAAACACGAGAGACAGTGTTTCATCGGGATATCCAAACACCGAGAAGAGAGTTGAAAATACGACGTGCAGCGGATCATTTTTGACGACATTCGAGGTGTTCGGATAGCCGATGAAACACTGTCTCGAGTGTTTGATTTATCTTCTCAATCGAAACAAAAACTAAGTAGTAAACGGAGAAGTAAAATCGTCCAAATCTATTCTGACTGGGTATCCAAACCTCCTTCAAGGTTGTGAGTTTCTTTGTGTTAACTTGATGTATTATTAATGAGTTCGAGAAGCTCTCATAAACTTCATTTGAAATTGACGTTCCCTTTTCAGTATTTGGGTTGGAGCGTGCGCAGAACAACTTGTGATTGGTCAATTGCGAATTAAGTTTTGGTAAATCTGTCTACACTGATGTGTTCCTCTCATTATTACTTTATAGCTGGAGTTACGGCATTGTCTTGTATGAGATTTTCACCTTAGGTAAGTAATCATGACGATTTTGATCAAATCTCTTGAAAATTCCGGTCAATCAGCCTAAATTGAAACCAAACAGAACAGACTGCATTTCAATAACCTCTGGTTCGCCAGGGGAGGGAATGGAAGACTGAATTTATAGAGGGGTCAGTAGGGGGTTGGCGGGGCTGAAGGGCTCTTTTGAAATGTAAGCTTATACGTGTTAAATTTAAGAGGA